CATTAGAAATGGAACAACTAAAAGGCATCTCACCAGCAAAAACAGCTGAGTGTACGACAAATGTCTTTTGTTTTAACTCTCTAAATAACATTTTAATGTCTCATGTAACACAAGAGTTTATAAGAGCTGAAATCCCATCAGCAGGCTTCCACATTTCTTCAACTAATCATCAGAGCTTCGAATGAAAGTAAACACTTCATTGTAAAAGCCAAACAGGTGCACGCACGCGCACACACACACACACACACACACACGGCTAACACCAGCCAGGGCTTTGACAACGGTTTCTGAATGTAAATATATTAAACGCTGACCGATGCAGATACTAAGAATAGTGTGCTTGTTTTAGTTTGATCTGTTCAAATTCTCATAAATTGGTGTCATACACTTCCACTTGTACTAAAAAGATCTTTTAGCATCTCCACCTGCCAGTGTTTTTCTATCTGTAACAAAGCCATCGACACTGAAATGAAAAGGCTAAAGGGAATAACAAATTCCCAACGTGCTTAAAGCCCTTTTCAGCCTTAGTGTTAATCTATAACTCACTGCTGATTAAAAGGACCGGTCACTGACAAGACAGTTAAGTGATACCTAAATCAAGATAAAATAAAAATAAAGATGAATAAAAGCCTTTGCTTAAAACATAGCTTTCAATAAATAACCATCTTAACCATTTTCTTCCTGCGTCAAAACAAAACTGAATTTCTGGCCAAGTGTATAAGTTTTAGGGCAGTGTCCTTTTACTTTCTCCTTTTCTGAAGAGGGACATGTAAGGAGAAAACAAGAAAACTGAAGACTTTCAAAAAGCCTCAGATTGCACAATGTGTGTTTTTGTTGCAGATAATAATGCCCAGACCTTCTCTTTACCCGATGCTGAATCAGAAAAAAAGATAAGTCATGTATTTCCAACCAAAATAAATAGTGATCAGACACTTAATAGTCTATTTGTACCTTTTACACACAATATTTTACAACTGCCTCTGCAGTGGTTGCAATTACCTTAATCCCAAGGTCTGTTTTTAGTGCCTTCTCTAGTAAACGATTCCAAATATACAGCAGGACCGCTGAGAGGCAGACATAATCAGTCTGACAAAACCAGGCAGGAAGCTTAACAGCTCTTTACAAAGAGACACCAACAACATAAAGGAAAAACATAATTAAAAAAAAAGAAAAGAAAAAAGGATTGCTTATGATTAGGTCCATGTGCATGCATTGTGACAGCGAGGCTGTGCATTTACATGAACCTTTGTCTAATTCTGGTCTGTGTGAGTGTATCCACAGCCCTGCTGTCCTAGCCAGCTGTCAGTGACCGTTCATAATAGTCTGTGATGTGGACGGGCTGGGCGCGGCGGGCAGGACTGAAGAGGAGTTGGCCGTGCTGGTGAAGAAGTTGTCATCTTTCAGCTTGTGATGCTCTGGCAGCTCCAGCTTCATCTTGGCCTCCTCAATATCACTGTTGATTGCCGCAATGAGGGCTTCTGTCAGGACAGAGGCAAAGGTGTGCAAAAAGGTGAGAAAAGTGTTATGAGAGTAGAGAAAAAAGGGATGATGGAAATGTATTCATTAATACTGAGCAAAACTTTAAAAGGGCATTACTGGCATCACACTACATCACTTCTGTGTTGAGATGAGTGTAACTAAAAGGCATACCGAGTGAGTTAAAGCTTCTTTCTGGGCGGATGTAGCCCACAAGGACCACACTGAGAACTTCTCCATAAAAGTCTTCTTTGAATTTGTGTATCACATGAGTCTCCTATAACCAA